CTCGTAGCGAGCGCTGCCGCCACATGAGGGCAGACGAGACGCTGCCAAGCAATTCCGAGGCCGATATTGCGGCGCTCTGGAGCGCTTCAGCAGAATCTGAAAACGGCCATCGCGGCCGCCTGTTCCAAGATGGCCACGGAACAGTGCCGAATGGAGGCTATCCAGCAAGTGTGCAGATCGTCCTGCTCATCCATGAGACCTCGGGCGCAAGGATGCCTGTCTGAGATGCTGCATGCAAAATCCGAACAGGGGGTGGGGGGGCACTCTCTTTGGCAATTCGCCGCCCCACTCTCACTTTCCCTGTATGGGGCCGGGGGGGATAGCAGATTTTAACACATGGGATGCTTTAAAATATTCGATTTTGCTACATGATTAATGCATGAATGAATTGATGCATGGACTCATCGTTGTTTTAAATTAATACTAAATCCCTTCATGTTTGATACATGATCCGCACGCGGAGCATGTATTAAAAACGGCACTGTATGGGCCCGGGGGGGATATGTGCATTGCGCGCGCTCCATGTCGAGTGAGGTGCAGAAATCCCGAGCTTACAGGGCACCACGGGTCTGTGCAGGTCTCCCCCCCCGGCCCCGCATGGGAGTGCGACGAACACATATCGAAGGCGCTGACCGCAGACTGCCCAGATTACCCAATGCAATGTTCAGTGGGCACCATGACGCTTCCCTTGCCGCTGAGCAATACAATCCTGTGCTCCTGTGGTGTCATACCATTCTGCCGAGCTGACGTCAAAAACACGGATGCGCCTCCGCGCGTCGCACAGACAAGACACAAGACGCTGAAATAAGGACCGCTTTGGGTTTGGAAGGGGCTCGCCGTTCCTTATGCCATTCGCGGCTGTTCCTCTAGCTTTCTTCGTGGTTTGCATGGTGCCGAAAGGGGCCTCGTTCCTTACTTAGCGTTCCTTACTTCAGCAGCCCGACTGCATGTACCTCGACGTTTGCCTTTTCCAGGTCAAGGCTCACGCAAATGTGAGTAGTACACGGATTGGAAAGATTCCTGCGATCCCTGACCACCAATTTGAAAGAATACAAGGGCGCTCTTGAGAGCTTCCGGCGCTTGCCGAGTGACCCCTGGGAAGCCAATCCCGCCAAAACCGACTCCAACGCCTTCCCCCCAGAACCCCCTAAGAAACGCTAAAAAAACGGCCACGAGCCCCTCGGTAGCCACAGGGGGTCCGTCTTGGAAGCCGTGGAGGCTGGCTCAGGAGAGACAAAACCAACTGTTAGGTCGGGCATGTCCTCCTACAGGCGGATTTTGGGCGAAAATTTGAAAGTAGTCGATCAAATACTCAACTATGACCTTTATAGAATGAAAACGCCGTCCCCCGACTATTTGTTTTACTATTTGGGGCTACTCCTCATGTAGAGGGACTGGCCCGACTTCAACCAAATTTTTTGAATGGCTCCTGGTGTTTTGGTCTTTCGGGCGCCCAAAGCGGTCTACGACGCCCGCTAGACCCGCCAAGAAAGTTCCTGTGATGCCCTCAGGAAGAGCCCAGGAGGCTCCCAAGAGGCCCCCGATGGGGCCCAAGGGGGGGGGGGGCTCGGTCCAAAGAGGCCCTCAAGAAGCCTCCAAGAAGGTTCTTGTCCACGACCCATGCACGGTGGCAGTCTAATGGACCGAAAGGCATTCTAACACATGAGCGGGGTACCGTGCGACGCCAGCGGCGTTCAGGGGGGAAAGCGGGAGAATGCAAGGGGTTCCGGCCTCTCTGGGGCCGATCTCGGCGCCTTTCCCCAAAAAAGGCAGCTTCGGCATCCCGTATATGATGAAGATCGGACGACACTTTCGCCAAAACTCATTTGAATGTCCTGTTGCCCAAAACAACCTCTTCTCTACGCCGTGAAAAGCCAGAGAAAGGAGGAGGAGCACGAGAACGATGACGAGGAGCTGGAGGAAGAAAAGGAGCCTGCGCACCCCTCATTTGAGCCCACCCCTCCCTATTAGGCGGGGAAGTGTGGCGCGGGAAACGACACTCCGCCTCCGTCCTTTTCCCCCTGCGCCTTCTCCTCCTTCTCCTCCTGCTCCCCCTCCTCCTCCTCCTCCTCTTCCTCCTCCTCCTCCTCCTCCTCCTCCTCCTCCTCCTCCAACCTCCTCCTGCTCCCCCTCCTCCTCTTCCTCCTCCTCCTCATCATCATCATCATCCCTCGGGTGTTCGTTAACGGGGAGCGATAAACGTGAGGTGACGAAACGAACACCTTTCGTGCACCTTTAGCCTCGCGGTGGCAGTTCGGGGGCCATTTGGGTACCCTGTAGCCCCCCACTCTCCACCGCGCTCGTTGACCCCCCGTTGCCGTCCTGCGTCCTCCGCCTCCTCCTGAAGCAGGCCTGTCCGCACGGGACTGGTGCCTCAGCCTCCTCCCTCCAGCCCAGTGTCTGGAGGAAGAGGGGGAGGGGGAGGGGGACAAGCTAGGTGCGCTCGCGTCATATCTGACATCCTACCCCTCCCTCCCATCCCGTACCATGGCGCAGATCCCCTCTCTACTCGCACAGTCGGATGTCGAGCAGGGCAATGATCCCGAAAGGGTACGCGATGCATTGTAGAGCACGGCATGGCATGGCGTAGAAGAGCACCGCAAAGCGTAGCATCAACCTAGCATTGCATTGCATGCCGTGGCATGGCACGGGAAATGACGCCAGCGCTGCAGCGGGAGCACGAGTCGAAACGAGCGGACGCGCGGAAATGAGGCCACGCTGCAGCGGGAGCACGAGTCGGAACGAGCGGAAGCACGGAAATAGGGGCAGCGCTGCAGCGGGAGCACGATTCGGAACGAGCGGGGCCCGAAAATGAGGCCGGCGCCTCAGCGAGAGCAGCATTTTGAAAAAAATGCAGGCGAAAACCAAACTCCGGGGAAACCTGTGTGCAAAAAAACAATACGCGGGGGGGGGGTCGAGCACTTTCAAACCCTCATCAGGAAGAGGGAGGATGAGCAGAAGGAGGAGGAGGAGGAGGAGGAGGAGGAGGAGGAGAGGAGGAGGAGGAGGAGGGGGAGGGGAGGAGGAGGAGGGGGAGAGGAGGAGGGAGGAGGAGGAGGAGGAGGAGGAGGAGGAGGAAGAGGAGGAGAGGAGAAAGAGGAGGAGGAAGAGGAGACGGAGGTGGAGAAGGAGGAAGAGAGGAGGAGGAAGAGAAGGAGAAGGAGGAGGAGGAGGAGGAGGAGGAGGAGGAGGAGGACGGAAAGGAGGAGGAGGAGGAGGAGGAGGAGGATGTTTGTGCTTTGCCGTTGCGCTGCTTTGCCACGGCGCTTCGCAGTCCTCTCGGCCACTGGGGGACGAGCGAGCAGCCGATGAGCTCGGCACCTGAAAGAATCGCTGGCAGACGAACACGCACCAGCGCGACGACGATCAAGGCACACGCCCCAGCAGCACTTAGCGAGACATGCAAGCGCAGGCAGAACGGCGCAGAGAGGCGGCTTAAGCAAACAATCAGACCACGCTGTTGGCCTCCGCGTCCAGCCGAACGGAGTTTGACTTGGGGTGCCTGCCAGCGCGGGTCCTAGTTTCTGGCGCTCAGAAGGTTCGTGGGGTGGCCACACTCTTGGTTGAGGTGCCGAACACAATCCCCTGTCGAGAACGCCTTACCACGAGGGCACACACACCATGCCTCCGCCAAAACAAGAAGAACTATACACTGGTCCTAAAAAAGATTCTGACGTGTGTCCACCTCGAACTTGTGTGTTCATAGCGCAAGCTGAACTACAGTCGGACCTGGTGAAGAAAAAAACATCCTTCAAGAGCACGAGACCCTCCGCTGGCCAACATCCACGAGCACAACCAACAGACACGAAGAAGCTCAGGGCACCCTCCCCGAACCGCCTGCGATCTTACAAGACCTTGCCCTCTCGTGCTGCGTGGCCAGTAGAGGCCTCCTAGATGGGGTCCGAATGGATGGGGTCGGAGGATCGCGCCGCATCGGCGATGCATCGGCGACGTCGGCGAAGCATCGGCACCATCGGCGTGGAGAAAACCGGATTCCACATCGGGCCGCGTCGCCGATGCATCGGCGATGCGGCGTGATCCTCCGACCCCATCTACCCCGACCCCATCTAGGAGGCCTTGATCCTGCGCTCGTACCCCAGGGAAGGTTCATCGATCCTAGCCACCATCTACGCGAGGGCGGGAACCCCACCTGCTTGTGGGCGCGGCGCGCCCCGTTGAACTTGAAGACATCGCTGGTGCAGCAGATGCCGAGAGTGCCGAAGTCGGCGAGAAAGGTATCTAGGAGGCCTTGATCCTCCTCCTCCTCCTCCTCCTCCTCCTCCTCCTCCTCCGCCTCCTCCTCTTCCGTTGGGCGCAGGCTCGGCCTTGGCCCTGGTGAATTCGGACAGATCGCGCGCAGGCCAAGGGGAGGGGGGGGGCAGCCTGGCCGCCAGCACGCAAACAGCCTTGACGACCTCTGCTCGGCGGCACGCAGGGAGTGACCCGGGGCAAGAACGACCTTTGGCGCGCGGCGAAGCAGGGGACGCGGGGTGGGCAAACCTGGGCGCGCAAGCCGCTGCTACGACTGCGCGTGCAGCGGGCGGGGGGCCCCAGTGGGCCCGCACCAGAGGTCCTCCGGCGAAAGGTTGCTACTCTTTCCTACGTCTGGTCGATCTGTGCACCTGTCCAGCCACTCTGGTTGCTCGGGGCTGGGCCTCTCGTGGGCCAGCGCCCCAAACTTCGCGCAGCGGTCTGCTGAACCACCCGCGGCCTTGCCGTTCCTCCGACAGCAGCCCGTTCTCCCGATAAAAGAAACATGACCAGTGCCAGCACCCCGTTCCTCCGACATGTGGCCCTTACATCTTACTGTGGGCTCCATCTGGCAGTCGGAGGTCCAAACACATATCCCAGTGTGAAGCCTTTTGTAAGATAGATGCTCGGACCGAGGTTTGGCCTGCGAGCCTTAACATTCTAGAGGTCGCTGTTCCCTGTGGAGGGTGCAGCAAGATTCTGAAAGGCAGCCGTGCTAGCCGCAACTTCTTCCGCCTCAGCAGAATACT